AGCTGTTGTCCCGGGCCAGATGATAATGGGCACCCTTAAAATCACAACATATCCATCACAGCTGCAGCGTGTAGTTGACCAAATTAGTGGTAAGTGGTAAGACTATTGACAAATTACCAGCTATTTAAAATAATCATCATGTCATTTTTCTAACAAAAATGCCCCAAAAAATTACTTGAATTCTGGGATTTCTTTTTTTTCTCTCTGTTTTTATATCATAAAAAACAGCTATTTGAGACTGAAAAAACATCAGATCTAAAGTAATTCACTTGGATTTTAGAAACTGGGAAATGGTTTACTATTGACTGACAAGACACACACACACACACACACACACACACACACACACACACACACACACACNGGACATATTTCTTCTGTCATAGCAATTTTCCTTCATACTTTCTTGCCGTGAAATAGGTCTTAAATTCTATTCAAAGTGGTCTTAAAAAGTCTTACATTTGAGTTGGTGAAACCTGAATGTACACCAAATGATTAATCTGTGAATTAAAGAAATACGCAACAGATTGACTGATAAAGAAAATAATCATTAGTTGCAGCATTATTAACTTTCAACAGCTGTTTTTATGTGTTTATATCATTGTTTANCCGTGAAATAGGTCTTAAATTCTATTCAAAGTGGTCTTAAAAAGTCTTACATTTGAGTTGGTGAAACCTGCAGGAACCCTGATTATGTACACCAAATGATTAATCTGTGAATTAAGGAAATACGCAACAGATTGATTGATAAAGAAAATAATCATTAGTTGCAGCATTATTAACTTTCAACAGCTGTTTTTATGTGTTTATATCATTGTTTAAAATACTGTATTTTGTGGCCATTTTATCCATGTTGTGACAACATTGCAACCCAAGGAGGTCAATTAATGCACAATAAGTCGTGTCAAAATAAATATAGTAAATACTTTTGGCTTAAGTTCTGGATGTGTACCTTCTGCCTGCCCCACTTTGAGTAAAAAAAACATAATGGCAAAATAAGTTCTTTAACATTCAGGTCTTTCATCCACTCCTCTGCTTATAGGTGACCTTTCAGCATCTGACACATCATTGGTGGATCTGGTGGAGCGTCACCGCGGCCCCCTCCCTCAGGAGCTGATGCCCCTCCCCTCTCAGGGCCAGGAAAGGGAAAGCCCTCTGGAGTGGACTCACCTGGTGGACGTGGCCAGTACGTTTGAGACTGAAAGAAACCCACACTACGGTATTAACTAATTCTTTTTCTTTAGTGAAGTATATAAACCAGCCTAACAGAGAGTCAATCAAGAGGGAGAGTGATTAGATAGTCCTGATTGTGGGATGTGTTTTATATATAACGCATAGAAATGAATTATTATTTCCACTTTTTTGAATTTGTTGAGCATTTGCCTGCTACTTATTGTTCGTATAAATAACTATGACTTGGTTTTACCTTTGTTTATTCCTCTCTTCTCCAGTCCAGAGAAGTTATGTGTTTGGAGATTCAAACCACCGGAGCAGCGGGGCCTCGAGCCCCCAGCAGTCCCACATCGAGCTGCAGCCGGCCCCTCTGTCCCGGCCCTCGTCCAGGTAACACCACACACAGGAAATATTCAGGGTACACATGTGACCTCAAGACTGCAACTTGTTCACTTTGCAGCCAAATAAGACTCAAATTAAAAATGATTTGCCTTCTTTTTTTAAATAAAATACAGTACATAGATCACTACTTAATCTCATCATAAGGCGCGTTCACACCGGAGTACTTTTACCCGTACTTTTCCCGTTTAGTTCCGATAGTGCCTGGAATTTTGCGTTCACACCAAAAAGAGGTGAGCAGCTTCCCAGCAGACCCAGCAGCTTCTACTGAAGCCAGTCCCCAACTCCGGGGACTTCCGGCCGGGGACTTCGGGTGGCAGTATACGCCGTGAAGTTGTTTGCGGCCTGCCAGTAAACCCAAAGCAGAAGAAGAAGAAGTGACGTCAGCGGTTTTATTTGCGTAATCTTCCCTCAGGGAACTTATCTCGGTGTGAACGCGATCTGTACTTAGTTCCATGGGGGCACTAAGTGCTGTGACTAAGTGCTGGCACTAAGTACGGCAAAGTACTTGGTATGAAAGCGGCTATTGTAAACCACTGCAAAAATCCCTGTATTCATTTGATCGTGTTTTTAAGCTACACATACACATTCACGTCCTTTTGAGTCTTAATTAATTTAATGCAAATTGCTGTTAACTGTCATAAGAAATAAGTAGATTCACAAAGGAGAGAGTGTGAGTATGAACGATGCCTCTCTGTGTCTCTCTCATCCCCAGCGAGGGTCACATAGGGCTGGAGAGGAAGGTGACCAAGCTGGAGGCCACGGTGAAGATGCTGCAGGAGGACCTGAAGAAGGTGAGGGGGGGGGGGAACACACACACATATGCACTTACTGCACGAATACATATTTATAGATTTGTCTTTTTTGGCAGTTCATGTGTTAACCTTCAGTCTGTGCTAAAAGATAACTGTCTAGGAATGAAGAATGAAAGTCCATGCTTTCTTTGCATCCAGTGGAACAGGGAACAGCAGGGGGTGTACATAGATATTTGGTCTTGCCACTGTTTATTTGTTTCTGCTCTACAGCTTATCGGTGCTTCCTTTCACTAGACTCACTAGAATGAGTGACATTTTACTCAAATGATCTGCCATCCTCTCATACGGTCTTTCTAAGCTGATGTCTACATTTCCCTTACTTTCCATCACTGTGTCCAGAGAGTTAAAAAGGGAGCTGTTGTTTGTTTTTGATGTCTGTGTGTCTGATGCGTTTCACCTACCTATGATAATATAGGCTAACTCTCCAGTGTCAAACAATTGTTGCTTATTTTTGACGCCTCATTTATGCTATAAAAATTACTTTTCAAAAGACGATCCCAGAGCAGATATTTACACAGCATTTTAGGTTCCTCCAGTTTTTAGCTAAAGGAGCCAAAACTGAAGGTCACGTTATTTTTAAAAGTTTGATGTTTTTGATCTGCTAGTTGCAGACTTTGACTACTTTGACCTCTAAACAGTGAAGACTTTTCCCTCTCAAAAACACTGCAGTCTGGTTGTGATTTATTTCTTACGCAATTCTTAGTAAATTCTCTGCTGTCTTTGAAATACTGGGAGGCATTAACCCGTCTGCATTTCTCCCGTTGTAAGCGGTAGATCAGTTCGACACCAGATCAGATTTTATTTACTATTATAACAAATCACCATTTAGCCTCTGGGGGTTTTACAGTCTGTACAGCGTACAGCACCCTCTGTCCTTTTCAACCATCCCCTCAGAAAAGGAAAAACTCCACAAACAAACCGCTTCCACTGGGAAACTAGTATGCTACTCTTCATTCAACCACCCCGAAGCCAGAAGCACATCTCAGAGGGTTTCATTGTTTTCTTTAACTGGATATAAATGAATGTTCTGTTGTGCTTTTAGCAGATTCAAAATGTCAATTGATCAAATCTGAAAGCTCGTTGCTGTGCCGGCAAACCTGAGATTTTTTATGTAAACACTCAAATTAAAGTGTTCATTATATTTAAACATAATAAGGTGATGATGTTGAATATTGAATGTTCAGTGATTTTATTTGTAAGACACTCATTTCAGTCTCGACGATATTGTTTTCTTCTAAATAGAATAGAATAAAATATATATTTTATTGTCATCATACAAAGTACAATGAAATGTCTTTGGCAACTCTCACTGCAGTAAAAAATAGACACAAATAAATAAGAGTGGTAAAAGCGATGACAGTGCAACGAGATAAAATTCAATGTGCATATTTACACTTACAGTCTAAAAACGTTAAATGTACAAAACTGTATAACTAACTGTGTGTTCATAAAGCGTTACGGTACGTCCACACAGCAGCTTTGAAAAAATCTTGAAAATCTTGGAGGTGGGCGTGACTGAGAGCTTGGGGATTTTTTGCGACCAACAACCAATCACATGAATCTCCCGCCCCCGATATACAAAGCAAAAAAAAAACGGGGATTTTATGCGAGCAATACACATATATATATATATAAACTCCCCAAACAGGCGAAAACCTACCAGTTTCACCCACTGTCTCTGCCACCTCCCTCCATGCCTGGTTCCTCCGGTTTGTATCCCGGTAAATAGTTACTGGTCGTAAAGAACCGGTTGATTCTACCGTTAATTTCTCGTTTGGAATATGAGGAAATGAACTGCGGTATGTCTCTCCCAGCTTGCACGCGGTTTGATTGGCTAGCGCTTGTACTGTCAGATTTGCATAAACGGGATTTGATTGACTGACGCTTCCAGCTCAGCTTCAAAAGTTGAACATTGCTCAACTTTTGAATCCTGAAAATCCTGGAAATCTTCGCTTTCCCACAATGCAGTTCGGCGAAAAGCGAGGCAACGTGACATCACCCCCATTCAAAGTCAATGGGCAGAGAAGCGTTGGAAGATTTTTTTTAAAGCTGCTGTGTGGACGGGCCGTAATAGTAACCAAAGCTTGCAAGTAAAATAGCCATAACTATCTCTAAATAGTAGTGGTTGCACTGCTTAAAAACTGCTTCAATTGTATAAATGTCCCCCATCCTCCCTCCCAGGAGCGTGAGGAGAAGCTGAGGCTGCAGGGGCAGGTCAAGAGGCTGTGGGAGGACAACCAGAGGCTGCAGGAGGAGTCGCAGACATCCGCCACCAAGCTGAAGAAGTTCACAGAGTGGGTCTTCAACACCATCGAACATATGAACTACCGCCCCCCCCCCCCCCTGCACACTTTGACTCTTGCATGCACGCACACAAATACACACATCGACACTGGGCAGAGACCAGAGGGGAAGAAGCTGGGCACAAGAACCCTGGACGTGATTATGCGCCCATCTTTCTTTGGCTTCATACATCAACAGCTGATATCTGGTGAGCGGCCTCATTCTCCACACTTCTCAGGATGAGAATAAGTCAATATGAGGGACTGTCCTCTACTTTCCAATGGGACCAGAGACTAAGCTGTGCCAAAATCATTTTATAAAATAGTGACAAAGAGGAAGCGGTCAGCCTTACCTCCTCCTGATGTGGACCCCCCCCCACCCCTGAAATGCTTTCTCACTTCGATGTGATTCTCTTGTTAAGGACCTTGTTAATGCCACTCGGAGTCCGACAGGTACTACGCGACAAATTTGCCAGCTGGCGTTTGCTGTAACACAAACACCTATAATGAATCCGAAGCCTCGAGACCTCTGACTGGACGAAGGAGAGCTTTTTGTTGTCTTCACATGTACAGAAGTTTCATCTCCTAAAGTTTCTCACCACTGAAGGGTCATGGTGGAAGTTCAGCCACCGACATGGAAGCAGGTCGCCTCTGATCGCCAGGGAAACGTGGATTTGTACAGCATTGTTCCTCCTCTTCGTCCCTCAGATCTGGATTACTGCATCCTGTCTGTCAGCACAACCCCACACCTGACGGAGGAGTGTATTTATAAGCCATCGGCAAGCGGTGCCATCAAACATGACTGAAATCCAGAGTGCTTTGGTCCATCCAAATTGTATGTGTCTTAAAAGCAATAGGAAGACTCCTGTCTCTCTCATAAAAGAATAAGGGAGACGTGTGATGTGGGAGGAGATATTTTAAAGATTACATTTAAAAGACTCTTGCTGCACAAGAGCCTCTTCTTCTGTTAAAGCAGAAGACATCATGCTTTAGGAAAAAGGACGGAGAGGACTCTGCGCAGCGTCCCATCTGGAATACACAGAGCCAGTAATGACATTTTTTGGGAGGGAAAAGTAAGAGTGGACTTTTTCCTCCTATGTTAATTTATTTCATTGTATTATAATTCAAATAAATAAGTTGTTCTATTCGTCAAAGTACAACTGACATCAGTGTTTAGTTCCTCAAGAAAAACGGTCACTAGCTATATTATTTAAATGGCTTTCTTTCTCAATTCTGATTATATGCTTTTTATTCTGTATTATGTTGTGTTTTGTGGTGCCCAAGCCTGCTGTCGTGTTGCTTACAGTGCCCTCTAGTGATGACCAGTGGAAATGTCATGATTATTAAATGTGCCGCCAGTCACTCTGTATTTTCCCCACGCCTCTCCAACAATCAGTCAGACATCGGGAGGCCACACACACACACACGCAGAACAGGAAACAAACGCCAGCTTTGACAGACAATCAAAGGTGGATTTTAGATTAAAGGAAGCAAACCTTACGTGTGTGTATGTAGGTGTGTTTTACATTTTAACATCTATAGTTTTCCTCAGGTTCAGTATTTGTAGGAAAAGTAATTCTATGGTGAGATTATAAAGCCCCATGATGAGCCAGTGGCAGTGTGTGTTGTCAGTGTGTGAATGTACATCAGCCATGCCTACACTCCCTTATTTTGGTCATTTTCTCAGAGCAGGGACGTGCCTTTGAAATAGCACCTGGGGAACAGATGAAAGGGAAAGGCTCGTCTTTTTCATCCCGAAAAATAAACACATTTGAGTTTTAATCAGCTTCATACTCACAGTTGTAGACCTCATAAATGTCTGTAGTGCGAGGCTTCTCTTCGTATGAATATTTGTACCGAACACAATCAGGCGCGCCAGCCTCCAGAAGCAGGGACGAGTGTGTTTGAAGTGTATGGAAATGTGACGGTGTGTGTGCCTTTGCATTCAGCGACATGCAGTATATCTTTCAGGGCAGCTGGCCCCTGTAATAAGAGTGTGTCGATAGAAATGTTCCCCCTAAATCACAAAGCCACTTACACCCCGAGGAGACAGAGCGTTTCCTCAGCCAGGTGCATGCTGGGGTTACTTCAGGTCGTCGTATGTTGGAAATGCTGATCACAAACGTGGTGTTAAAGCCTTAACTCCTTCCCTGTCCTCTGCTATCAAACGTTTGATAAAAAGATCCCAATTTTTGAATCTCTTAAAAGTAAATTTGTGTCTTAAATCGATGTAATTAAACCCAGAACGCCACCCGGTCTGAATGTAAAGATAATTTAAACGAGCCTAACGAAATGTGATGTTTACTATAACTGACATTCAGCTTTGTAGTTTAGCAGTGTCATGAGTGAAGTCGTAACAAAAAACGGTTCTGTTTTAAGAATCTCAAATAAATCTGTGTGGATTATAAAAGAAACGTCCCAATAGTTTTGCTTGGTGATATTATATAGTTGTTTTAACAGTTCAAGAAGTCGACCAGTTGTGAAAAGCATTCTAGTAGTCATCCAATAATGTGAAATCCTTACACACGATATAACGAGATATATAGGTGGAAGTTTTGAGTTGCTCAGAGCTACCGTTTGCTTAAATGATGACTAATGTTTGGTATTTTATTGTACATGGAAAGTGCTCTAGTTTTTGTATCTCAAATGAAGTATGGCCACATGACGAACTGTGCAGTAGATGTTTTGCTCGCATCTTTAAAAGTGTGCATCGAGTGGGATGTTATACATTTGTCCACCTTATACAAAGACATTAACAAACCAGTGACTCCAGCGAAAGATGTTATTTCACAGTGCATATTTTGTTCCGTTCGCTATGTTTTTGGTGCTTTTCAGAGGGAAATGTGAATGTTCAAATGTTCCATTTTGTAATTTGTTTTTAAGAATCTTTGCACAATGTTTTATAAAAAGGATTGTGTTGTTTTGGATGAGAAAGGTGAATCGATCCATTCCTGTGCCGTCGTGTCTTGGTGTTGCTCCGTAGTTTTCCTGCCAGCTGACAAGAGGAAGGTGCTTGACTTTATTCAATACGTGTACCCTCCTCTTCCTTCAAGCTTCACTGATCAGACAGAGCCGGCTGGAGGTTGTTTTCTCTGTAGGGATGCTGATTTCCAGCCTGAGAGCTTGGTGATTGCTGGAAGGTTTCACGAAGCTGATCCGTTGGAAGAACAAACTAACCCGTGAAGTGGTCGGCTCTGAGCGGAGGGAAACAACCTTCAAGAAGACCAAGCGTTTGATAGAATAGAAATGCTGTTTACATCCTGGGTCCATTGTCTTTGTAAAATGTAAAGGTATGAAAAAGACATTTGCAGTGATCACAGTATTAAAGTTTCTGAAATAAATAAATGCCGTATCAATTTGTGGATTTTTTTACTTCTGTGAGTTTCTGATCTGTACTGCTTACATATTTTAATGATCTTCAGCTTACTTTTTGAGTACAGAATAAGGATACAAACTAAAATACTTCTTATAAATTAGAAAGCTATACAACAGCACAAATCTTAAAGGCTTATTTTAGCTACTTTCGGCAGTTTTGCCATACCATTGAGTACAATGGGATAGTGATAGATATGCTGGAGAGAAACACACCATGTATTGAAAATGGATATCAAATATTAAAGATGTGTTTTATGGTATATGTGATATGACAGTATATTAAACACATGTTTTTGCTTTTAATGAATCCACTATTGAGAACTGAATTCCCATAAAGCCAGAAAAATACCGTCAAATTTGCAAATCATTTAAAAGAAAAAAAAAATCATTTCAAAAGTAAATTAACAGCTGTTTTTTTTTTTTCTCATCTTCAATTATTGCTCATGTGTCCAGCCTTGCGTGGTGAACAGACAACAATATCATTTGTCATAATGCTTCTCTTCAGAGTGGGTTTACTTGATTTTTCGTGCAGAGCGTTGTCTGACAGTATTGAACGGTGAGTAACCGCAGAGTGAGCAGGTCTGGGATCAGTACTGTTCGCTTCAGGCTCCCATTGTTCCTGATCTCTCTGACTCACCTGATTGCACTTTAACTCACAGCCGGAGACACAAACTCCTCTCTATCCTGTGTGATGTTCTACAACCAACCAATGAGCAGTATCTGGTCACTTCTGGCACACAGAGAGTATTGAAAAGGAAGATAAGAACATATATAGCATTATTTTTTTTAGAGTTCAACTTATTGAAGAGCTCAGCCTGAATTACTCTCGTGCAAAACTGCATCGCTGTTTTACAGGATATTACCAGGCTCCAAATGTTTTAGAAGTGCAGTGGATTACAGAGCTCACATGTACATCCATCTATCTGAGTAAACTCAATTTAGTGCGATGCAGTTATAAAAGACTACTGAATGTACCTTGATTTTTGTTATATTTGTCCAATACTATTTCCACAACCAATAATGACCTTGGATGCTTACTTTTTGTGTTTACACATTAACAGAAAGTATAGAAATAATTTCCATGGCAAAAACATCCTTGCTCCTTTATTATCAAGACAAAAGAGATATTGGTATTTATGCTAAACAACGACAATAAGTGAATCGTCTCTTTTGTTGGCAGGGAATTAAACAATGGAGGATTTAACCAGCCAGAGGATTAGTCTGCCATAATCACATAGTAACTAGAAATTAAACTCAACGTGAGCGCAAGAAAAACAATTGCCTATATTCTTATAGCTGCCAAATGAATACCAACACATTGATAACATAGTTGCCTATAGATTCCCCCTGAAGCAGGGGCGGACTGGCCATCTGTAGAATCTGGAGAACCACAGAACGGCCGGTCGTCAAGGGCCGTTGACGGCCGGCTGGCCCTTTAAAAAAAAATGGTTTAACGTCATCATTTAAATTGCGCTGACGGCCGACAGAGGGCGGCAGCGGCCGCTAATGCAGTTGTGTGGTTCTTATCTGTCAAATAATCACACACGAAGAAGAAAAAAGACCGGCCACATGAAGGTTGCGTTCCGATAATCCAAAAATCAGCTCCTAAATTCTAACCCTATCTCCTATTCCTTGACCTCTGAGTGAAACGTCACGGGGTTAAGGGATAGTGGATAGGAGAATTCAAAAGGACTTAGGAGAAGAGACTGCGGTACTTTAGAGAGTCCGAATGCACTTTCACTATCTGACGTGTTTATGATGCGCCAGCGTACGTCATTGTGTGCGTCTGCTGCTGTGGTGAAACTATGGAAACTACAGTGTTCGCACTACATGGATGTTTAATAAGAACGAGGGACTCATCTAGAGACTCTGCACCGTGCTCTGATGCTGTTGTTTTATGCTTTATGAACGTGGACAACAGAGAAACATATTCTTCATGACCAAAGTTGTAATTGAAATAAAAAAGGAAAGTGACATTTATGCTCGTCACCCTCTCCCTCCGGTCCACATTAATACAAATGATCCCAATACGTATGATTGTATCAAAATATCTTAAAATCAATACAAATGTATTTATTATAAACGTTAGTCCTTAACACCTATCACTGTGTACATCACCATTCAAACATCTTTTAAAAGTTGAACAAACCCCACACAGCTCAGTGAAATGTTGACTTTATTTGATCATTTCAGTAAAAACTAACGTTCATATTTCTCTTTTTGATTATAATACTGATGAACGTTCAAAACAAAGCACTTTGGCAACTTACCACATACGTTNCAAAACTAAGGCCTCAGGATGACTTTAAGACTTGAACATGGTCATTTTTGTTTTGTAACATTGAATACAAAATTAAAAAAAAGTATTTATAAAAAAAAATTTTTAAAATCCCGATCCCCGATTTTTTTCTCCCGATTCCGATCTTCTGAAAATCACGTAATCGGCTCCGATCCCCGATCACGTGATCGGATCGGGACATCTCTAATCACTGTCTGTGATGGCTGTGTGTATTCAGCAGACTGTCCTAATGACACACACTTTGTCATCTCCACTAATCACTAGTCACTTTGTATACAAGGAGAAGCATTTTGAAAAGCTCTGACTTGTCTATTAATCTACCAAGGACTTTGAATGCCTCTTGAAAAAAGGGATTGATTCACTTGATATACACTGAACAAAAATATAAATGCAACACTTTTGTTTTTGCTCCCATTTTTCATGAGATGAACTCAAAGATCTAAAACATTTTCTACATACACAAAATAACCATTTCTCTCAAATATTGTTCACAAATCTGAAAAAATCTGTGATAGTGAGCACTTCTCCTTTGCCGAGATAATTCATCCCACCTCACAGGTGTGGCATATCAAGATGCTGATTAGACAGCATGATTATTGCACAGGTGTGCCTTAGGCTGGCCACAATAAAAGGCCACTCTGAAATGTGCAGTTTTGCTTTATTGGGGGGGTCTGGGGGGGTCCGAAAACCAGTCAGGTTTAACCCTAACCCTAACATGTCACCCACTGACACATTAAAAAATGTTTTAGGGTTTAACCAGTCAGGTTTAACCCTAACACTAACCCTAACCCTAACATGCTCACTATCACAGATTTTTTCAGATATGTGAACAATATTTGAGAGAAATGGTTATTTTGTGTATATAGAAAATGTTTTAGATCTTTGAGTTCATCTCATGAAAAATGGGAGCAAAAACAAAAGTGTTGCATTTATATTTTTGTTCAGCGTAGAATAATTTAATATACTTTCTGTAGGATTAATCTGATAAAATTGCTACAGAATTGTATTATTTTGGTAATAAAGTGCAGGATAAAGACATCAAAAACACCTGTTTGACCCCCTTTCTTTTGCTGGATAGAGT